ACAGCAAGAGAGAGAACCTGATATCTGGCCTCAGCTGCAAAGCCACAGTCTGAGAAATAATTTCATGCTTACTGCCCTGGGCGGTATAACGCTGCTCAACTTCTTCTTTGAAGAAGTTTGTGCCGTATCCCTTCAGGACATAGGTAATCATGGGTCTTCTCAATTTACTGTTTTTTCGTAGCTCTTAATAAATTTTGTATTTTCCTAAATCTTGTTCCTCCATCCATTTACTTAAGTTCGCTATTATATATTGTTTTCATTTGTCCGTCTTGCCTTCAATCTGTCCTGTGGGTATCAGATTTTCCAAGCCTTCTTTCCTCATTATGTGACCTAGAAATCTGAACTGTCTCTTTCTGATGTTAATTATAAATTTTCATTTTTTTCTCATTATTTTAAAAACTATATTCGGTCATCAACATTCTTTTGTAGAATACTTTTTCTAAAACAGTGCAAAAAATAAATAAATAAAATAAAATAATAGGGATACAGGGGTAGAACTAGAGAGACCTGCTGTAGAACAGTGGGGACAGGGCTGAGGGCCAATGCTTCATAGTGCAATTAGCTCCCACTGCAGCGAATGTTAGATAGTGGAAGGTTCTTTCACGTCATCAACTTAAGTGTCACCTGACATGCAGAAGATTGAACGAGAGTGAAGCGCCCCCCTACACACCGATCCATATACACATACACAGACAGGCATGAAACAGTGTAATAAAGAGTGCTGTCTGCCTAGATTTTGCAGTGCCAGACATCTTATGTAGATCTTGCTACAAGCTGTAATAAAACACAGTGAGGATCGAAATACTGACAACAGAAACTGGCCACCGAGAAAGCAGTGTCAGCCATCATTCTTTTGTAGATGTTAAGAACAGATATTTGTGAGGGAATTCATCCACAAAAGCAACAAGGCTCTGCTTTTTGTTCTACGGCAGGCGCCAGTTGCATATGGTTGCTGCTGGGTCGTTCCAGTAGAGTAGCTGTTAACATCGCCGGAAATGAAATCAATGAGCCGAGTTCAAGTTCCGTTCTTGTTGGTTGCTTTAAATTTCGAACAAATGACCTGAGAAAAGACATAAATCAAACCTCACTCTCACTGTCAGTAACTGGTTACACAGCAGGGTGGATTGGGCTGCCTAATCTATCTATCTATCTATCTATCTATCTATCTATCTATCTATCTATCTATCTATCTATCTATCTATCTATCTGTTCCTTATCTATCTATCTATCTATCTATCTATTAATTTACACAAATCTATCTATTCATATCTATATATCTATATATTAATTAATTCATATCTATCTATATATCTATATATTAATTAATTCATATCTCTCTATCTCATTTGGGTCATTATCTATCTATCTATCTACTTATCTATTAATTTATACATATCTATCTATTAATTTATTCATACCTATCTATCTATCAAGCTATCTATTCATATGTATATACCTATCTATTAATTTATACATATCTATCTATTCATACCTATATATATATATATATATATATATATATATATATATATATATATATATATATATATATCCCTATTAATTTATTCATATCTATCTATCTATCTATCTATCTATCTATCTATCTATCTATCTGTCTGTCTGTCTGTCCTAACTCGAAACCATAGAAAAAGCAACGGGAAACACATTCCATCATATTTCACAAAACGTCATGGCAATTTACAGAAAATAAAGAAATCCTTATGAAAGTACAGCTTTTAAAAAATAGTACGATAGACTGGGCTGTTAAGCTATGTTTGGGAGCTATTCATAAGGAAATCTTCGAATTTCAAAAATTAGAATAATGAATGGGAAACTACCTCACTATATTTTCCATGCTAATTGAAAGATAATAATAATAAAAAAGAAGGAGAAAACCGGCGAATGTCAGGGATGCTTGAGTTCTGAACAGGTTTGATATTTCAAATATATTGTCTCAAAAACGGAATCAACTTGATTATTTTTATTAATAATGGCCTGTGAAGTGTAAATCAAGAACTATAGCTCTGTGGGAGGCGCTTACTATCTTGTGATAAATATCGGAGAGATCTTTGAGAAAAAGCGTAAGACCTCTGGGTTTTTTTTTTTATAAAATAGTTCAAAATGAATTCGATCCAAACGCCATGACAAGACTGAATTCAATGGCGTTCTGAGTTTGTAGTTTGGAAAGAAAAAAAAGAAAAATGTCATTTCTCGACACTTTTCTTTATTTGTTTCGCTCTCATGTGCAGAAATGGGACGATGTTTGATTCAATGAAGCATAAGAAAAACAAAACAGCATTTATGCAAATTCTAAACGGGGAATATTTTTCTTTTCCTCAGTAAATTAAGCAGTTGGCTTCCTTGACAAAGTGACTATCGACTCTGCCTGCCAATCAACATGTCTTTTAGGATTTTTTAAAATTCTCTTAATTTTTCTGTTCAAAAGACCAATAGCTTTTTCCCATCAATTGGTCAGTCAATAATAGATTTTCATCGGTCTATTTTGTAAAATCCATTTTGTGTGATTTATTCATATCTATCTATCTATCTATCTATCTATCTATCTATCTATCTATCTATCTATCTATCTATCTATCTCAATTTGTTCATATCTATCACAGTTTGGTCATATCTATCTATCTATCTATCTATCTATCTATCTATCTATCTATCTATCTATCACCTCCTGCTCATATCTATCTATCTATCTATCTATCTATCTATCTATCTATCTATCTATCTATCTATCACCTCCTGCTCATATCTATCTATCTATCTATCTATCTATCTATCTATCTATCTATCTATCTATCTATCTATCTTCTCCTGCTCATATCTATCTATCTATCTATCTATCTATCTATCTATCTATCTATCTATCTTCTCCTATCATTCTCCTATCATATCTATCTATCTATCTATCTATCTATCTATCTATCCCATCTATCTATCTATCTATCCCATCTCCCCATCTATCTATCTATCTATCTATCTATCTATCTATCTATCTATCTATCTATCTATCTATCTATCTCATTATGTTCATATCTATCTATCTATCTATCTATCTATCTATCTATCTATCTATCTATCTATCTATCCCAGTCTCCTCATATCTATCTATCTATCTATCTATCTATCTATCTATCTATCTATCTTCTCCTGCTCATATCTATCTATCTATCTATCTATCTATCTATCTATCTATCTTCATATCTATCTATCTCATTATATTCTATCTATCTATCTATCTATCTATCTATCTATCTATCTATCTATCTATCTATCTATCCCAGTCTCCTGATATCTATCTATCTATCTATCTATCTATCTATCTATCTATCTATCTATCTATTACCTCCTGCTCATATCTTCATCTATCTATCTATCTATCTATCTTCTCCTGCTCATATCTATCTATCTATCTATCTCACTTTGTTTCATTCTTTGCCTTGTTAACTGCGCCGCTAATCGATTTTCTAAATCAGTTAAAGTTGTTCGATCGTGAAATCTTGCTGGCAAGACTGGCATGATAAAATATGTTCTTAATTCACGGATTTACTAACGCGTAATATGGGCTTTGGAGACGGCAAAAAACTATATATATATATATATATATATATATATATATATATATATATATATATATATATATATATATATATTGTAATAAATATGGCGACAAAGATGAGGAGAATAGTCCGAATAAGGTAAAATGTAAAATACCTCATCTCAGAAATATAGACAGGTTGTTTTACAACGGTTTATTGTTAGCTTATTCAGTATTGTATGCATAAGTGTATCATATGTACACATAAATTTCAATGTAGTTACATCTCTTATATATACATACATATATATATATATATATATATATATATATATATATATATATATATATGTGTGTGTGTGTGTGTGTGTGTTTTGTGTGCAATTACTGACTGAAGAGAAAAGAATGAGAGAATAAAGAAAAAGAAAAGAATATAATATGAAGGCGGAGATATTAAAGTTATGATTGGTCGGCCATTTTGGCGACGGAAGCCTCTCTCTTGTCAGTTGAGCTATGTTTATCAACTCCAGTCATGTCTGCAAAATGTCAGGTTTGTATCTACACAACAAGCACGATAATAATACGATAATTCTTTAAAGTTGGAAACTTCAGAAAACACCAAGAATAAATTAGAAACATGGTCGTGACATAAACAAATGTAACGTTATCAATCGGAAAACAGTAGAACTAACAAAAACTTACTCTCAAAAGTGTCACGGATACAGACAGCTTGAAAAATATAACGCTTCAAATAGTATACTAAGGCGGCTAGCCGATCCCTATTGCAGATGCTCGCTCAGGCACATTTGTGTTTATTCAACCACCCCAGCCTACTGCAACTAGGCCTACCTTAGTTACAGTTTCTGGGAAAGAGCGTGTTATTTAGCGTGATTTGTCCAGCACGCTTAAACCCTCGGCCACGATGACTTGTAACTTCGTGCTTCCTTCTACTCAGACGGCTTGTGCTAACCCGTGTTATAGTTTTTTAGGCACTTTCCACAGGTGCCGCACGTTGGGATCGATCCCCTTCAGTCCGATAACATCAGGAAGTCTTTTTTTCCAAACAAATCGACGATAGTGATATTCGGCCTCATGTTTGGAATGCGAACGTTCCAACCACTTGTGCACATATCGTTTCAAATATTGTTTAGAAATTGACAAATTTGGATAGGAAAATGTTAATTGGTCGTTTTTTTACGGCTTTAAATAACCTGTAAAGGTTATTTAAAGCCTAAAATTTTTTTTTTAGATTGTAACAATTTTTTTTTGTTCCGAGATAATAATACTGATATAATTCTTACTAATTAACCCATAGCTGGGGGAGAAAGCGTGTATTCATACAGTTCTCGATGCTATTTGCGCGTAAGTGAACATAACAAACCTGACTGGAATTGGAACTCTTCTACCCGATCAACAATTCCGAGCCATTATCACCACCCGCACTTCCAAGCTCGCAGCACCTGGTATTTCCAAGCGGTCACCCATCGGAGTACTGAACAGGCTGGAATCTGTTTAACTTCGGTGATCGTATGGGAACCAATGTTTCAACGTGATAAGGCCTCAAACCGGTAAAACGCGTAGAATAATAAAAACAAAATTTAATTCACAAGTACAGGCAAGAATGAAACTCTTCATCATTTATGAGTTTATAAAAATCTAGATAACTGATTGAAAATATATGTAGTACCCTATAAACATTGTGAAAATGGAAACATTCCTTCGTGGAGTGGTAATAGTAACTGTATCCTTAGCCGTTTCCTCCTAAGGAAACATTCGGCATTCATTAACCATGCATGTAGTACTGTCGGTTGATATTCATAAAAGTGTTTTTTGTTTTTTTTTAAGGTTTCTTAAGTCCAGACGGTTTCCTTCCTAACTTTTTATCTGAAGTAGTGTGGAATATCTACACCTTGATTAAATTATTATTTTTTCTTCAATAGGTGCTTTCCGTTATATTTTTTAAAGTTCCACAAGAATGTCTTTTCTGTTTTATGACAGAGAGATTGCTTCCCCGACCAGTGCAAATTTAATATTTTAAAATCTAAGCTGAGGTTCTACACTATCATATCATCATAGTATGCATTTCTTAATTCCTCCTTTTACTCTACATCGAGTGGCCCTTTGGCTTTGTGTTGCTTAAACAATAAAAAAAAGATAAAGATTACAATGTAAAACTGTCAGCTACTCGTGAAAATGACCAGTAATCAGTTGTTAACTGGGGCAAGTAATGGCTTATAAATCCCCCCACCTTCAACAACATTCCTTTAATGATCACCCGAGAATCATTTCTGCCTTCTACTAGCATGGCCGATATTAACCTTCAGGAAAGAAACTCCTTGCGCCATCTTGGCCTCACGATTACTACTGATATGAAATGGAGTGATTATATTGAATCGATTGGTAGGTCTGCAGCTAGGGAAATTGATTCACTTCCTCCCTTTCCGTCCCGACAAAAACCTCATTCAGTAAATCTATATCTTGGGTCGTTCTTGAGCCTTGGTTACACAATGCTGTAAAAAATAGTAATGGCAAAGTAAAACTGACCGCCCATCAGTTGTTAACTGGGGCAAGTAATGGCTTGTAAATTTTAACGCGTCTACAACAAAAGAGCTCTCATTTAATCACCATATAGAACGACTTTCTGCTTTCCATCAGCATGTCTAATGAAAAACTTAGGAAAGCCTTCTTGGTCTCAGGTTTTTCACTGAAGTTGAGTGATTATATTGATTGAATTGCTAGGTCTGCTGCCAGGGAAGTTGCTTCACCCTGATATGCTAGACAATTTCTCTCGTCAGAATTCATCTTACGCATTTATACATCTACCAATGGTCATTGCTTTGATTAATGATGTTACATTTGGTCTGGTACGCCTGCTATGTATTTAGAGATTCTCGATAAAACCAAAAGAAGAATATGTAAGATTATTGGTCCTGACCTGGCATCTCGGATTCAGTCATTGGCCCACCGCCGTGACATGTCTTCCCTTTGTCTTTTCTGCAAATGTTTTCACGCCGAAACTTTTAATAACCTTCTTTCTTCGTGCCACCACCATAAGAATTAAGGGTACCATTAGTTTGGCAACAAGGTCTCATATTGTTACTGTTGAACTAGTTCTCTTCTAATAATTCCTTTTCTCGCTTATGTAGAGGCAATTACTTGATTTCGTTCCACCTAGAATTTTCCGAAACTTAATTCAATGCCAATCGTAATCATTTGTCTACCTGGAACCCGTTCTTTTATTGTCCTTTATTTCCCTTTCTTCATAAAGGCACTATCGGCTTGATTGGGATGAAAGGATAAAAAAGATAATGTAAAACATTTGAAGAAAAAAGCAAATAATCAGAGGATTGGAAATAATTCATAAAGGTCGGGGTATACAACAATATAAACGGTACTATCACTACGTTTACGAAATATATAATAGCAGTCTTCGTATCATGTGTTTTGACATCATTCAAAATCGAGAAATAAAAACCATTTAAGGGAAGTAAGGTGAGGATTATGAAGCGGGGTATTAAAGAAAGAAATCACGCTAACAAAATATAGAAACGTACGACATGCCTTCTCCCCTACACTGAAAAGGAAAACTAGTGAATGTTATAGAATCTATCTTTACGCACTAGTCCGGTATGTCATATTGCAAGAGACTGTGCTTTACCCATATGTCAGGAAAACATCTTTTTTGCTGCGGTCACACCAAAAATGTAATCTCTATTGAATGGTCTTCACTAACTAATCGTTATCCGTCATTTGACTGGCTAAACACGGTGCATAGTAATTGGGGGCGTGAAAGGAAACTTAAACCAGAATGTTGAAAACAACAAAGAAAGCAACTATAATAATGAGTTAGATGAAAAGATTTTACAAAAGCGAGTTCAAGAGTGCTGAATAATATATAAATAGAGAGGGTGTGATATAAATAAAAAGTATAAATGTAAGAATTTGAAAAGTTTTATTTTTTTAATCTTTCCCCCCATGTAAGGCGTGGACACAACTAGTACGCAGGGGTTACAGGGAGTAAAAGTGAGAGAAAACACCGAGTATTTGGAGGATTGAGGAAAGGACAAAAGATGAACGGGATTCAAGAAGACAAGATGACGATTGACGTTACAATTAAAGTTTTGAAGATCGTATTTATCAAGGAAGCCAGTAAAATGAATGGAATTCCATAGGCGGGAAATATGAGAAAAGAAATTGTTGAAGTAGAAGTGGCGGTTGCATTTATCTATTTCAACATTAAAAGAGTGGGACCTAGATGCCAATCTAGTAGTGCGTTTAAATCCATGTAGTCGGGGTACCAGGAATAAAGGATCATCAGATCAATAGGATGAAAATATTTGTAGAAAAGACAGAGGGAAGCCACACAACGTCGGTGAGAAAGTGACTGAGGTCGAGATGGCAAGTCGGGATTGATTACATTTCAGATCCTTCTCTGGATTTTGCCAATAATCTCGTGAAAGCAAGGAAACCATATCAGATATGGCAGGAGTACCCAATGGTAGATTTGTAAATGTGAAGAATAAACTGACGAGAAAAATGTTCTTTCACGATGCAGTGACCCAAATTTCCTTGCAGTAGATGCAGCTATTGATTCGATGTAGTCGCTCCACTTCAAGTCAGTTGAAAATGTGAGGCCAAGAAGGCGAAATGTGTTGCTCTCAAGGCGTCTAACACCGGCCATGTTGACAGCAGAGAGAAAAGCTTCTCTATGGCGGTTACATGAATGCAGTTTTGATTTGTAGCCGTTAAAATTTAAAAGCCATTTATTGCCCCAGTTAACCACTGATTGGAGGCCTTTAGAAGAGCAGCAGCCACGTTTACTTTGTCAGCTCTGAAGAATTTGCTATTGAGACAGGAGTAAATAGTACTGCATAAATACGTACTTGGGAACTGATTACATCAGGAATATTATTGACGAAGATCACCAACAGCGTTAGACCAAAGATAGAGCTCAAGGGTTGGGGCACCCGTGTTCTTCTGGAAGGATCTGGAAGCAGGCCTATTTAAAACGACCTTCATTTCACGATTTGATAGAAACGATTGGATTAAATCAAACATTCGTCCTGTAATACCGTGGAGCTTACGGAGAAGGGCAGCAAGTGCCTGGAATAATGAATATACGTCATTTCTGAACGTTAGAAAAGAATTCTCTGACAAGCAGATGATTAGCATGGTAATTTTCCTTATCGAGTTCTTAGCCGTGGGACGCAAGAGAAGATTTTTCTTATCAGCTCCAAGTGTAGAGTCAGATTTAGTTGTCGTTGTGACAGGCTCGATCGAAATAAATAAAAAAGGAAGGAAGAAATGGATTAGGGATAGTTGGGGTTGGTTAGTGTAAAGCGGTAGGATAATGACGCTGGTTGACGCTTCGTCGATCGCAGAGAGAAGGAGGCATTCTTTATCGTTAGAGTCGAAAGAATTCTGTTAGAAATCTTGAAAGACGGCGGTTTGATAGTTCTTTGATTAATGGGGAATCTGCGTCATTGGCAACCAACTAAATCATGGATTTTTTCTTAACCATTGGAGAGATGTTCTATTTTTCCCCTTAACATCTATATATCTTCGATATATATATATATATATATATATATATATATATATATATATATATATTATAAAAAAAAAGAACAGTAAGATATATAATCCGGTGTTCTTATTGATATTTTTATTTTTGCAAAACAGTGCTCAATGTAAATTTACAGAGCATAAATATAAATTAAACTTATAATACAATTTATAATACGATTCTTGACACTCCCGTCGAATTCAACGTATGAGGATCAAGCAGATCAGTTCCCAGAAAACAGACAGCCCGACAACAGCACATGAGATTTGATTATAGTGGTGAAGGCTTCGTGCAAGATATTCTACACTTTTTGAAGGGCCGAATACAGAGACCTCGTGCACTAAGTGCCACAAGGTCCCCAAACGACCCTCCGCAGGTTTTGAATTCAGAGTTGTCCTTCTCCTAGACCTGTTGCCATCCAAGGCTATAGAACCCAGTCTATCCTGCTATTTACCCATAGAGTATTAGCATGTAAGTGAATGTAATGGATTCGACTGGAATTCGAACTCAATCCAAGCCGCTATCCATTACTCCACCGTGCCTCCGCAACACACACACACACACACACACACACACACACACACACACACATATATATATATATATATATATATATATATATATATATATATATATATATATATATATATCTGTGCGTGCTACACTGTCACACAGATATACACATTGCAGTACTGAGTGGATCTTGGGTTTGTACTAACTCAACACTAGTAAAAAAAATCTATGTGATAAAAATGACATAATTATTACAATCTCTCTCTCTCACACACAGACACACGCATATATATTAATAAATACACATATACGTGCGTTTGGTGTGCGGCTCGAGTTTCGTTGGTTGCCCAACTCATCGGGCACGAGATAAAATTATTGTTCATTTAAAATAAACGTATTTAGATGATCATAGGATGGATTAGTTCAAAATTAAAATAGCACAAAACTAGTACTAAAGTAATACTGAGGTTTAAATGCAGGAAAC